TTGATTTAGATTTTTATTCTGTTCACTCACTTTGCATTTTGTAAATTGATAAACAATTACAATATATATTTTTGAAAGCATCCTTACTTTACAACATTTTTTCACACCTGCCTAAAATTTTTGCACAATACTCTACCTGTATGATTTTTATCAGTGTAAAAATCTACTGTAACTTAGCTAACATAAATGCTTTGTAGGCTTGCTCTGTGGGCTCTTTCGTATAATCTAACTATCTTTCTTTGACCAAGTTTCTAACTGTTGGTGTAAAAAATTTTTCTCACTTTCTCTTAGAAGCATAAACTATAACATAACCTCACATGCAAGCCATAAGGTATCCCACAAAGTCTGTAGAGTGGATGAATTATGACCAATTTCAAAATGTTGTGAAGTTAATTGTCTAATATAATTTTAAAAGCCCTTCTCTTGTAACAAAGAAGTATTAAAATGCCACCTTCCATTGAGTGGCTTAAACTTTAATAGGATAATAGGATCATGGTCAGATATATGAATAGGATTTATAGAAGAGTCTAAAACATATTTTGTTAATGAAGAGGAAATGAAAAAATCTAGAGTACATTCTATGGGCATAAGAAGTAAATGTGAAGTAAATGTGTAGAAGTAAAGAATAAAAAGAGAAGCAAGAAGAAAATGTGAAGTAAACTCTTCAACCTGGGGCTGAAGTAAAGCCATACATCTGACATATGAAACTCTTGCTTATAAGCCTGGAACACTTTCCAACTTTGATTGTAATTATACTTTTTAGAAAGAATATTCCTATCCATTTCTACAACCATCAAAAAGTTTAAATCACCCCCTAAAATCAAATAGTTAAACATTAATATGCAGTAGTCGCTGGGAGTCGCTTATACATTTAAATTATTATTATTATGGTTAGATTATACAGTCAGCCAGATGTTTAGATTGGATTTGGCATTTTTGTCTACCGATCGAGTCCTTCCCAAGGACCTGGGATAAGCAGATGCTGTTGTTTAATAATATTAAAGGTATTGTCGCAGGATGTAAGCTGTTCCAAGTAAAGCTACCTTTTGCAATTGACTGATATTATTATGATTATTATGATTATTATTATTGCCATGCATTTGTGAAATAATTCAGGATCATTTTAAGCCCATAAAAAATAACAAGAATTAAATCAACTTCTGATATCCTCAGAAGATATTTGGGGCAGGCACGGCAAACTGAAGGCATCTCCACAAAAGCGGAGCCAATGACTGAGGCAAAGACCAAAGAACCAGTGAGTAGACTGGTTCTTCAGAAACTCTCTGGATAAGGAGAGGGCAGGAGATTGCTCACATGTGCTCTGGATGGCTGCTCCTTGCAAGGAGACAACAGGACAGTGGTCTTCCACAGGTTTGAGCAGTGGGAGAAGAAGGGATTAGCCATCTTGTTTGCAGCCATAACGGAGCCTTTTAAAGGACACTTAAGTTCACAAGCTTCACTTTCTAATTACTTTCAGAAATTGCCTAATAATCGTCTTAAAGCTATTAGGAACCTTGAGAACAATAAGTTTGAAATGTCACCAGCTGAGTTTAGCTTCAACTCTGAACAAAATAAAAATTAATTATAAGCTTAAGAACTTAAAAGAATTTGAAATAACAGCAAAAATCTAAATAAGATTTTGATCTAAGAAAGTTATAAAAGGATTAAGGGTCCAGTTAAATTTTGAATATTGACTTTTACTATAAGATTTTGTGATTAACTATAAAAAATAAATAGCTTCTTGTGGGAACCAGACTTATTTTAGTTATCTTAGATTATTGTAAGTCATAACAAAGATAAACAATTTTATGATTTTAGAAACTAGGTACTAGAGGGGACTAAATATTCGAAGTAGAAGGAAAAAAATACAGGCCTGCTTTTGGTGTTGGTTAGTACTGGAACTTACAAAATGACACAAAATATCATAACATTAGAAATATTAAAGGAGATCTTTGAAGAATGGATCCAGAGATTAGTAGCTACAATATCAACAGTGTCAGTAATGATGTCTGAATCTATGGCAGACTATGTCCAAAAGATGGTAATGAGGGAATGACAGATGTGGAGCAAATTTTGTCTGATAAGACAAAGTACCAAAAGTGGAACTACAAATGACAGGCCAAGAAAATGATTTGGAAAAGGACGCTCTATTTGATATATAAAAGAAACTGGCTGAAGTTTTAAAAATTAAAGGGAAAATACAAATGACAAATCAAGAGAATGACCTGGAAAATGTTTTCTTATTGGATGTACAAAAGAGGCTTGTTAAACCGTTGAAGAAGTCTGTGTGATGGGATAAAGAAGAATTGAAGAGGAATCAAATCCTATGATAATATTTGAATGAATTAAAGATTAAGTCTGGCTGGTGTGGGTCTTCCGGGCTGTGTGGCCGTGGTCTTGAAGTTTTGTTTCCTAACACTTCGCCAGCACCTGTGACCAGCATCTTCAGAGTGCAGGAGCACAGACAGGAGCAGTTCTCTCTGTGCCCAGGGTGATGTGACCCTTTTTGTGGATATTTATAGAGAGCTGAGGGGGGGGGAAGAGGGGATTGGGGGTGTGTGGGTGGGGTTGGGTTACTTGATGTGACCCTTTTTGTGGATATTTATAGAGAGCTGAGGGGGGGGGAAGAGGGGATTGGGGGTGTGTGGGTGGGGTTGGGTTACTTGATGTGACCCTTTTTGTGGATATTTATAGAGAGCTGAGGGGGGGGGAAGAGGGGATTGGGGGTGTGTGGGTGGGGTTGGGTTACTTGATGTGACCCTTTTTGTGGATATTTATAGAGAGCTGAGGGGGGGGGAAGAGGGGATTGGGGGTGTGTGGGTGGGGTTGGGTTACTTGATGTGACCCTTTTTGTGGATATTTATAGAGAGCTGAGGGGGGGGGAAGAGGGGATTGGGGGTGTGTGGGTGGGGTTGGGTTACTTGATGTGACCCTTTTTGTGGATATTTATAGAGAGCTGAGGGGGGGGGAAGAGGGGATTGGGGGTGTGTGGGTGGGGTTGGGTTACTACGGCCACACAGCCCGGAAGACCCACACCAGCCATCGTATGCTGGCCGTGAAAGCCTTCGACAATACAAAGATTAAGTCTGTTAGAAGTAAAAGGAAGGAATATAAAATTGGTTTATTTGATCAAGGATAAAATAAGACATTTGTTTTTTGCAAAGTTTTGGCAACCCTTTATGGACATTTGCTGACACCAGGATTGAAAAGTTGATGTTTTATGGATTTGCTTATGGATAAGGGATGAGATATGGGATGAAGAGATATCTGTTTGTAACCTTATAGGGGTGAAGTGTTACTAAATTTGTCTATACATGCAATGAAGGTTGGAAGTCACTTCTTTTTATATATTTGTTTTCTTTTCTTTTTATTTATTATATTTGTTTTCTTTTTTGTTGCACTTTTTATTCTTTCTATTCACTTTGTTTAGTTTGTATTAGCTTTTAGTATTGTAATCAAAATCCTTAAAATTATATACTAAAAACTTTTGATATTCTCAGGTTGATGATAATGGAATGCCCATAAGGAGCAATATATAATTGTGTAACTACCATGTTAACCTCTTTCCTAACAACATACCTCCAGCTGCGTTAGTACTATTTTCACTAATATATGAAAAACCTGATCATGCAATTTCAGACTAAAAAAAAATTCATAATCTCTGATATGAGATTCTTATATAAATATAACATCAACTTTATATATATTACTTTGAAATCTTTCTATGTTTTGTATTTCACATCCCTTTCACATTCCAATTCAGTATCCTCAACCTAAACATATAAAAGAGTTAGTTATAATATACTTCCAGATAAAAACCATAGAAGATAAACCTCCACTGAAGACACTGACATTACAAATGTTGTTGTTGTTCAGTCGTTAAGTTGTGTCCGACTCTTCGTGACCCCATGAACCATCGATAATGTATTATAAACATTTATTAAGAAATTAATGCAACCAGTGACTAAAAAAGCTGTAGCTAAGGATAGGAAATACAAAATTAACATACTTAATCAAAAACAATTAAACAACAATAAATAAGAGACTCTATGACTTCTGTAGAGAACCAGTTCACCATCTCAACCATCCTCCTCCTTTCCTCCCCTGTTGTTAAAGAAACAAGAACAAAAATTAACCTCACAGCATTTGTAGCTAGACTTAACAAAGGGCAATGTTGAGCAGCCAAAGACAAAACAAAGAGCTCTTCCCACAACAACATAAGCCTTCCAAGATGGCAACACTCAGTCGTTGTGCAATCAGAAATGCTAATGAAGTATCAGGATCTTTAAAACGCTTAATCTGGTCACAGATGGACAGGCAAAAACAAGAAAAAAAATTCAGCAGATTTCTCTTTGATATTATCTCTTTGAACATAATTCCTTCCTCAAAGAAATCACAAACTAAGGAAGATCAGAGAAAACATGCAATTTGTATTCTTTGTATTTCAATGAAGAACTTTCACATGCCAGCAACCCTCTGAAATTTAACAATAATCAAACGTTCTGCTAAGACTGTTTGATTTGATGATTTTTCCCACCTGTCTCAAGCAGCCTGGAAGTTTATTTGGAATTCAGGAGGATCTATAATTGTCAGTCATTGTGGGAGGTGCCAGTAGTAATGTATCCATTCTGATCTTGATCAGGGAGCAGCAACTGTTTAGCATGGACCTATTTAACTGGTCTGCCCACAGCGACTGATGGACCCATTTGGGTTCCAAAGGGATCTGGGGGTTATACCCGAGGGTCTGCTGCATGGTCCAGGAGAGGCCTTGGCCGCTTCCTGGAATAGGAAGGCAGCTGAGGCCTTGGAAAAGATTGCGCCTGTGCAACCTCTCCAAGCCCATCGAGCCTGACCCTCCCTGTGGTTTACGGAGATGTTGAGGGTTTTGAAAAGGATTAAGAGATGTCTAGAGCGCTGCTGGAGGAAAACGAAGATGAAACACAACTGAACAAAATCTAGAGCCACAATTAAGGCCTACCTTGTGGTGGTAAGAACGGCGAAATGTCTAAATCTCTCCACTCTTATTGCATCTGCAGAATGCCACCCAGTGGCCTTGTTTAAGAACACCCAGAGGGGTGGGCCCAGTGGCCCATTTATAGGGGCACACAGAGGAATTTTCTGGGCATCTGGAGGATAAAATTGCTCACATCCAGTCCCAGTGGGATACCAAGCGTGCAGCATGGTCTGTAGAGATGCCCAGGGTACAGACTTGCCCTGTTATCTGGGAACAGTTTGATCCTGTTGGACCTGAAGAAGTGGACAGGGTCCTCCAAACGGTCAGTGCCACCACTTGCCATCTAGATCTATGTCTCTCCTGGCTGGTTAAGGCTACTTGAGAGGTGATATGTGGGTGGGTCTAGGCAATGGTGAATTCATTCTTGAGGGAGGGATTGTTTCCAGCGGCCTTTAAAGAGATACTGGTGCTTCCCCTCCTCAAGAAGCTGTCACTGGACCCCACCATACTGGACAATTTTCGCCCAGTCTCCCACCTCCCCTTTTTAGGGAAGGTGGTTGAGAAAGTGGTAGCATTGCAGCTCCAGAGGATCCTGGAGGAAACAGATTATCTGGACCCCTTCCAGT